AAATGGTCAAGAAATATATGAACATGCCCAATGTCACTAGCCATTGGGGAAATGTAAATCAAAACCAATAGCAGACTCCATCTGTGGGAGAAGACTGCTTGGGTTTTCATTTGTGCAACAAGTGGGTTTAGAGGACCCTGTTCACCACTAGGGGTGAAGTACATGGAAGTAAGGAAACCTTAATGTTTTCCTAATGGGCTTGTTCAATTCTTGACCAGTGCCTATACTTTTGTCAGAAACTTTCCAGTCTCACTACTTGAGGATACTTTTGTTTTGTTTTATTCCTTCTGTCTCATGATGTTCCTCCAAGAAATCACAACCCTCAAAGTATTCATTCATTTATGTAGTCTGCAGTTTTCATGGGCTACTACATGGCAAAGTACTAGGTTAAAGGAACGGTATATGCCAGGAACTGAGCAAGGTTCACAATGATGAAGCCATTGGGGGAATGAACCTGATGGAAGACACCCCCCCTCTCTCTGCCTCACCTTCTCTCTCTCTGCCTCTCCTTCTCTCTGTGTGTAACTCTGATTTTCATATAAATAAATGAATCCTTAAAAAATAAATAAATAAACAAAGTAGTAACCTAGTAGTTTCTATCAGAACATGTGAAGCACTCACAGTTTGTCATGGAAAGTCAGCCATAGTTTTCAAGGGCACATCTTCTACTCCACTTATGGACATCTCTGTGGGGGGTAAGGGGCCCCTCCCCTCTTCTTTCTTACCACTCTCACATTTATAACTTCTATAGATGCTTCCACAGTCCAGTCTCTATGAAAATGTAGAACTAATATCCTCCCATGTCAAAAATGTCATGGGTTTAAACACAGAACCCAAAATAAGACAAGTAACTGGCCTTCTTAATTACACAGTGTGGAATATAAAATTCTCAGTGGATCACTGGGTAACTGTAAAGTCCTGGGCAGAGAAAAACTGTTACTTTTCTGTATTTATGATGCTGTAATTCTCCACTTTATGCAAACTCAGATTAAAAGAGATCCAGATACTGGGCAGCACTGTTGCATAGTGAGTAAAGCTACTCTCTACAGAGTCAGCATCCCATATTGGTGCCGGTTGGGATCCTGGCTGCTGCACTTCCCATCCAGCTCTCTGCTGTGGCCTGGAAAAACAGTAGAAGATGGCTCAAATTGCTCATCTCCTGCACCCACATAGGAGACCTGGACAAAGCTCCTGGCTCCTGGTTTTGGATCAAAACAGCTCCGGCCATATACCTCTGCTTCTGCCACTCTGTAACTCTGCCTTTCAAATAAATAAATAATTTTTTGATAGGCAGAGTTAGACAGTGAGAGAGAGAGAGACAGAGAGAAAGGTCTTCCTTCCATTGATTCACCCCCAAATGGCTGCTACAGCCAATCTGAAGCCAGGAGCCAGGTGCTTCCTCCTGGTCTCCTACATGGGTGCAGGGCCCAAGCACTTGGGCCATCCTACACTGACTTCCTGGGCCACAGCAGAGAGCTGGACTGGAAAAGGAGCAACTGTGACAGAATCCAGCACCCCGACTGGGACTAGAACCTGGGGTGCTGGCACCACAGGCGGAGGATTAGCCTAGTGAGCCACAGTGCCAGCCAATAAATAATTCTTTAAAAAAAATAGCTCCAACCCAAAAGAAGCTCCTGGCACCTGACTTTGGATTGGAGCAGCTCCAGCTGCTGCTTCCAACTGGGAAGTGAACTATTGGATGGAAGGCGTCTCTCTCTCACCCTCACCTCTCTCTGTGTAACTTTTCCAAAAAACTAAATAAATCTTTAAAAACAGCTCCAGTTCTTGACCCACAGTAGATTTGCATTAATTTTAGTTCACTTTTCACTTTGCAAAGGGATCAGCGGCAGGTAAAACAGTTGACAGCCTTGCTAACAGGAGAAGAAAGGAGAGCTGAAGACAGAAAATGAAAAGCAGCCAAATAAATCATCAACTACGATTCCATGGCCTTGTAGAAGAAATACAGCCACAACCTGAGACAAAGAGAAGTGGACCCCAACCAATACAAACACAATTAATGAGTGAAACAGCTGCCCACTGGAAATCTCATCTAGGGAGGGAAGATGCCCTAAGTTCTGCTTCTGTAAACTCCAGTCATAAATCTGTCCCTGGCATCTCTTTTACAAACATACTGGACCCACTGACCATTGGGAATGTGGTCCTAAGTCATGTAGGCTGCCATTTAAACCCACCAGTACTGTAACAGCTGAGGTATGATGCTGATGATCCTATACATATTCTAAGAAACTTGAATTTGTTGCTCAATTCTCAGGAAATCATTCCAGCTGAGCAGGGGGCATTAATAAACTCCTTGGATCCTCCACTGTCTCTGTGCCTGTTTGAAAGAAGGGAGTTTTCCCACACCAGGTTTCCGTAACAACTTCAAATTCCAGATTGGAAAAATCTGTTAATTAAATACGGGAGAGGGATCAATCCCAAAGCTACTGCACAGGCTTCACACTGCTCCCTCTGGGAAAAAGCCGAACATGCAGGGCCACACCTGGCAGGTGTGTCTGCGGGGGGCCCCACCAGGAAGATGAGGTGCAGGATGAGCAGTGGGGCAGATCCTAGTCAGATCCTCCTTCCCACCCCTCTGCTGCCCCAGGCTCTCTGCTGAAGGCCATCCAGCCCCACCCCACAGGAACTAGCCCAGGAAACAGCAGGAGGCCAGCCACACTGCATTCTGAGACCACCTGCAGTGGGAGCTGGGATTATTTAACTGTGGAGAGTGGGAGTCTCCCCGCCTTCCTTCCCTGTGCTCTCAGCTGCCTGCGTGTGCAGGTTCCCAGAATGCTGCCCTCTCTCTCCTGTAACCAGTAAATAAAGCACCTTAGGGACAGTTTTGGTGATGTTCCGCAGGGGACAGTCCGGGCGCTGGGAGCCTGGGAAGCAGAGGTGGGAGACAGAACAGCCCGGGTCCCAGCCCTGACCTAGGGGGAAGCTGCCATGATCGCTGAGAAGTAAGTGAGCCTCACTGGGAGCCGCTAGCTGTCCTGGCACCCACCCTTCTCCCACATGCATCTCTGCCCCTTTCTGTACACTAAACCTGCTGCAGAAAGTCCCGAGAGCAGGTACCCTTTCTTCTGGACCCACGGGGAGTGAAGCAGGGAGTGCGGGGCAGAAAGAGTTGCTGGCACGTAGGACCCACAGGCGGATGATGAAGAGGGAAGAAGCAGCAGGAGGTAGGCTTGGGGTCAGCGCTCGGAAATTGCCTGGGGCAGCACGTGCAGAGCAGAAGATGCAGTAAATCTGGGAGAAGGAGCAACACAGCCCCCAGGGCTGACCTCAACCAGGGAATGAACTCCCTCTGGTCCAACTCAGAGCCCCACGGACGGGCACTAGAACGCGCATGCACACAGGCATTCGGAAGGCAGATAACGTCGAGCTCCTGGGGACTCTGGGAAATGGAGTCCAGGCCGCAGCATCCCAGAGACACCAGCTGGCCCTCCCCAAGGGCTGCAGGCTGGAGTGGGTGCCCATGACCAGAGGGTGTTTGCTTTTGTTAAGTCCCTTCTTCCTGTCCTTCCCACCCCAAAATCTCAATGCTGTTCTCCCTTTCCTGAATCAGAATCTTAAAGAGTGACACCCACTGCTGCTACTGACCCCAAATCCTGGCTCCCTCATAACCTCTGTCTCATCCAGAAAAATCTTATTTACTGCCTTGTTCCTGGAAACTTCTCCTGAATCATAGATGACTATGAATACAATGTAACTTTTAACAGAGGTGTAGAAGGCCTGGTTTAACATCCACTTTTGAGATTACAGTTTTTATTTATGTTTTGTTGATGTTTATAGTTCTTTTCTTTAATATTTATTTATTTATTTGGATGTCAGAGTTACACACAGAGAGAAAGAGAGGTAGAGAGTGAGGTCTTCCATCTGCTGATTCACTCCCCAAGTGGCAGCAGTGCCACAGTGCTGATCCCTTATAGTTCTTTTCAAATCACTTCACACGGTCTTATAATTCACCAAGTACAGAGACAGACAAAGGAATGGGACACAGAGCTACCATAGCTGAGTATTCAGGGAGACAGGTTAAGGGGTTGAGTATTCAGGGAGACAGGTTAAGGGGTTAAATGCCTTGCATCATATAATTTATTCCTTAGATTAATTCTGGGGACAGTATTCTATGGAGTTTACAAAGCAAAAACTGAGTGGAAAGAGTTTAGAATTTGCTCATGCAATATCATTAAAAAGTCTAAGCTAAAAACCAATCAAGGTGCCAATGCTGTGGCATAACAGGTAAAGCCACTGCATGCAGTGCCAGCATTCCATATTGGGTGCTGGTTTGAGTCCTGGATGCTCTACTTCCGATCCAGCTCTCTGCTATGGCCTGGGAAAGTGATGGAAGATGCCCAAGTCCTTGGAACCTTGCACCAGTGTGGGAGACCTGGAAGAAGCTCCTGGCTCCTGGCATCATATGGGTAAAGCTCCAGCCCTTCCAGCCAATTTGAGAGGGAACCAAAAGATGTCTCTCTCTCTCTCTCTCTCTCTCTTTCTCTGTATTTTTCTTTCTCTCTGCTTTTCCTACTCTATAACTCTGATTTTTAAATAAATAAATAAATCTTTTATAAAAAGCAAATCAAAATATAATACTGGTTTTAAAAGAAATCTTTCTTTTATCTTGTGGCTCAGTTTCTAAAATCTCAGATTTGTCATATGAAAAAAAATGTGAAAGAGAGGAAGAGTACCCAGAACAATAATTTACACTATAGAGAAGCATGTAGGATTACAACTTTTCTAGAAAAAAAAAGGAGATTCAAAGTTGCTATTATTTGATGGTTATTTTTTCTTATTTTTAATATCAAGATAGTATATAAATATTATGCAGTCCTAGGTATTTGTGTGTTGTTTGGTACGTTTTATTTTTTAAGCAGAAATTTTAAGAGATAACTGGGTAACATGGAGTTCTATGTTTCTGATTACTTCTCTCAATTAGAGATCTGATTACTTCTCTCAATTAGAGATGGGATTAGATTAAGAATGCTTAAATCTTTATCCACTGACTTCACACCAATATTTACTATGTTAGACAATATTCTTTGGGTAGATTGCTCTTTCTTGCCAGACTGTAAACTTCATGGGGGCAAGAAACATATTTGCTTTGACACTAAAACTCAGTATCTTGACAGAGTCAGTCTTTTAGTTGAATGAATAAATGAGAATATACAGAATAAATAAATAGTATTTCTACCCTCCAAGAACTGCCTAATAGAGGAGACAAGGAAATTGAAATGTATTTCATAACTTTCACTATTAGGTGAATATATAATTTGTTGTTCTGACACAAGTTTGATCATAAAAAGGGCATATTAATAATTACACAGAGTTGAAGTGTATAAACAGGAACGAGCTAGGGCCAAGCAGGTTAAATGTTCACCCTAGCTATATAAGGTATTCCACATCAATAGAAGAGGGAGAAGGATGAGGGTACGGAGTGCAGGAGGGAGGGTGGTTATGGTGGGAAGAATCACCATGTTCCTAAAGTTGTAATTATGAAATGTATGCAGATTATATTCCTTAAATCAAAGGTTTCTGGGGAAAAATAGAATCTATTTTGGTAGATATTATAGCTTTTACCAAGAAACTAAGAGAAATGTGTGAAATTCTATTTTTTTAATATTTATTTTATTTTATTGAAAGAGTTACAGAGAGAGGTAGAGCCAGAAAGAGATCTCCCAACCTCTGATTCACTCCCCAAATGACTGCAATGGCCAGAACTGAGCTGATCCAAAGCCAAGAGCCAGGGTCTCCCACATGTGTGCAGGGACCCAAGGACTTGGGCCGTCTTCTGCTTTCCCAGACCATAGCAGAGAGCTGGATCAGAAGTGGAGTAGCAGGACTCAAACCAGTGCCCATATGGATGCCAGCACTGCAGGTGTGGCTTACGTGCTACACCACAGCCCTGGCCCCCCTACAATGTTTCTACTTAGTAAAACCAAATATTTACACTAATGGGGTATTTCCTGGAAAGCTATGCAGGAAGGTCGGGTCCTAGAAACTGAGACCCTGCTTCCCACATGTGAAGCAAGGAGGAACTGACAATCCTGAAAACAATTCCTCACCTGCATGTACACCATACACAAGCACTGTATCTCCCTGGTTACACCTTGTCCCCACTGCCCGATTGAGGGAGACGTGGGGCTGCCATGAAACAGCTCCTCACAGAGGGCTCTGAGGATGAGACATCTCTTTGAACAGGGAAGGGGCCTACCAGGGCAGACCGCATTTTCTAGACCACAAGGAACCGAGGGGTGTGCTGTGGGGACAGCGAGAATCGGGCCCACAGGTTCCAGAGATGACCTCTGGGAGCCCGCATCCTGCCAGCAGGTACCACCAGCTTCCCCTTCCCCCACTCTGGACACCTGGCCCCACACACCATTGCTGGGCATATGAGATGGGCTGTGTTGGGTGGAAAAAGTCAGAGAACAGCGGATGCTGCACTAGCTCCTGAGTCTCCAAGTGGCAGAGGCCCCTCCTTGGACCTCTCTCCTCCAGGAATTTGGAACTCAGTGGTGTCACAATCCAGTGTGATTATGTGGCAGTGACTCCACTGCACCGGATTGGACAGCTCACATAGCCGTCAGCACGCAGGACACAGAGGACTCAACAAATCAGCATCTTTACAGCAGAGATGGGAAACTCCAGGCTCCAGGCTGCTCCAGATGGTAGAGAGGTGAGGCCTGGGTTCAGGGGCCAAGGGCCTCCTCTAGGCTGCACCCTTTCACCAAAGGGATCCTGCCACCTTCTGGGACCCTCCTGCCTCCCCATGGGTCTTCCTTAGAGAATCCTACCTGGAGGCTGCAGTAACCTGCTTAAGGTGAGGTAGAGAGTAATGGTTATTTATTGGCTTTGGTCTTTTACATTTTCTTCATATTTCTGACTCATCTCTGTGGGGTTTTTGATACTGATATTAAGAATGTTTCCACACATTACATAATTCAATCTTTTTTTTTTACCTCTCTCCTGTTCATATTTGTTTCCTATTCTGCTTCTTGACCTTTAATATTATTTTCTATTTGTTTCTTGTTAGTACTTAGTAATTAGTAGATTTTATACATTAATCTTTCCAGTAATATTGTTGAATTTGTGTATCAGTTGTATTTATTTGTAGATTTTATGAATTATCTATTTAAGTGTCATCCTACATAATTATGTGTGTATATATACACATATATATTTATATATACCATTTTATCCTTAGAAATTGATCTTTACACATTGTGTTTCCTTTTTGCTGTTTTATTTCCTTGGCTACCTTTACAATAGGAAGTTGAAAAGAAATAGTAGTGCCCTCCTGGTCTAGGCTTACTTCCAGGGAAAAAGTTCTCAATGATCTTGTATTAGTTGTGTTAATTCTTTTAGGTTGCTTTTAATTTTGATCAGATTGAAGAATTTACTTTATGCTTGTTTTTACTGATAGCAAGTTTTTTCCCACTGGATATTGAATTTTATTAAATGTTTTCAACATGTAATCTAAACAATCGTGTGATTTTCTTTTTGCATTTTTCAGCTACTTGGGTAAATTCTTTGGGAATCTTGACAACTCTCATATTTTTACTGTCTCTTGCTTGTAATCAACTTCTTAGGTTTTCCTATGTGATTTCATTTATTATAATAATCCTTTGCTTAGAATATTTCTATCTCTTTATGAAAGGTATGCTTTTAAAAATTGTTTCACATACTGGTACACATGCATCATCATCAATGTAATTCTCATTTTCCAAAAATAAATTTAAAAATATTGTGTGCTTATTTCCACTTTGCACAGGTCTGGGAAACATTGTTTTTTTTCTTCCCTAGAAGTTTGGAATACACCTGTAAGCATGGACCAGAAATTTTGATTAACTTTTTTTAATGGTTGGTTCTAGCTTTCAAAATGTGATTCAACTTACTTGGTTTATGTAGGAGTTTTCCTATTTCATGTTATGTCTGTATTGTGGGAATTTCATTTTCAAAATATGGTAGATTTTGATGTGTGTAGTCAGATTTTACTCCTAAGAATTTGACACATTTCCTTTAGTAGGATATTAAAGGCTATAATTTTTACTAAGGAATGATTGTGTTTTAATTTCTGAAATAGGTTATTTGTGTGATTTTTACCATTGTTTCCTTAATTGCTTTTATTAGTTTTATTAACTTTGTTAACATTTCTTTAAAAATCATTATATCTTTGTTTATTTGTTTGTGACTCTTACTTTTATAGAATTTAATAATATCTGCTATTATCTTTTTCTTGCTTGAATTCAATATTTTTTGAGTCTTTTAATAATTCTTGATGAGGAAGCTGTAATGACTGCTTTCCAGTGTTTTATTCTAACATAATCATTGAAGGCCATAGGTTATCTCTAAGCACTGATTTATTGCATCCTCTTTTTCCCTAATGTGTTTTCATCCCTATATGAATAGGACCTGTTCATCTCCTAGTGTCCCCAATCCAATGTATTTGAAGCCATCAGTGGCTACATGTATCTTCATTTCTGAACCTGAAACCCATGTTCTGATTGGTAAATTATCCCTTGATCCATTAGAGGCCCATTCTTTACTATTATATGGATGTAATCACAGCACAGCAACTACCCCTCCAGAGCCCTCTGCTTTCCCCGGGGGCATGTGTGTGTGCCATCTGTTGAGCTTGTGTGTTCCATGAGGTCAGAGGCTGTGGCTGCCTTGTCCACCACTCTGTACCCTCAGAGCCTGGCACCTAGAAACCTCAGAATAAATATTTATTGAGTGGATGCCTTGTGGCTGACCATTGACTATGCAATGGTGTACTTTGTCTTTTTCTATAACAAATGATTCTCAAAGGTCAGAAGTAAGAAGTTGAAAATAGGAGAGATTAAATAAGAGTGGTGACATGGTTCCCACTGACCTGTGCATATGCAGTTGTGGTTATGCCTAGATCTCAGATCTTTTTCAGAGTGTTTTTCCCTCTGCTCTTAAAAGAAAACTGGAGATTCTTGTGCAGTTATCAGGCAGAATGAAAAAAAAACATATGGGAAGAAGAATTCAGAAGGAAAATTATAAGCATCCTCTTCCCTATGGAAATAATAATAATAGAAATAATAGTAAGTTTAAATTATATTGTATGTTTTCTGTCGGGTTGCTGGATTCTGTCCCGGTCACTGCTCTTCCTGTCCAGCTCTCTGCTGTGGCCCTGGAGGGCAGTGGAGGATGGCCCAAGTCCTTGGGTCCTGCACCTGCAATGGAGACCAGGAGAAGTACCTGGCTCCTGGCTTCGGATCAGCGCGGTGTGAGAGCCACAGCAGCCCTTGTGGGGGGTGAGCCAACAGAAAAGGAAGACCTTTCCATCTATGTCTCTCACTGTCCACTCTGCCTGTCAAAAAATTTTAAAAAATAAAAAAAATTTAAAAATTATATTGTATGCTTTCTGCCCACTGTATGTTGCTCTAACTAATCCTCATAAGGAACCTATGAGATGGATATTATTATTGTGCTCATTAGTGGGGAAATAATAGAACTTAGAAAATTGAAATAACTTGTCCAAGCTGGTAGGTGGAAAATCTGGAATTGTATCCCAGGTTTTTCTGAGTTCACTGCTTAACCACTAGTTCTTGGTGGGTTCAACAGTTAAGGGCAAAGTCCAAGCCTCATTCATTTTTGTTCATGTCCACACCAAGCTCAAGGCCATGTATGCCAACATGGAGTAAATATTTATTGATTCAAAAATACAGATAAGCAAAGGCACTGGGCCAGGGTTATTTTACTGGAAAACAGAGCCGGCAAGAAAGGAAACTCCAGAGCCAACTGAGGGCTAGCCTTGTGGCACAAGCAGTCTTCTATCCTATGGAAGAAAGACTTTATCATTAAGTGTGTTTGGAATTCACAGCATCAAGTTAAAAGAACATTCTAAAGTGGCAATAAGGATGATAAATTACAGGAAAGAGCTGGAAGGTTCCTAAAGGTCTTTTGCACTTTTCCAAGTCCTTGTTTTGTTACAAGGACTATGCTACAGAAGGCCAGTTGGGATAAATACTCACAATGGCACATGAGTAGATGACCTTCATAAGCCAAGTAAATCAAGCCAGAATTATTGTAGATCTTTGCAGTGCTTGCATTCGCATCTTTAGGCCTTATCTCTTTCTGTCTTGGAGAGCCAGCTCCTGCTGAGCAGGGCTGCTAATTCAAGTCTTTGCATAATCACCTTGTGGCTCCCTCCTCTACCTTTCCATCCAAATGTTTTGCAGGGTGCATCTTGATCCTTCTCAGAATGCTGTCTCATCTTCTTTCCTGACATTTAAAGAAAACTGAAGAAAGTGAAAGCTTAAATGAGAAAATGAGTAAGCGGTTTCATATCAGAACTCAAACTCACTTCCAGCACAGCTTAAAGTTAGTTCCTTTCCAGATACCTTTGAATCTCATGCTCAGAACCAGATCTTGTGAATAGTTTGTTTATTGTCTATTTATTGCTTGGATGCGTGCATGAATGAATGTCCCCTAATATTTCTTTAGAGGATATTTAATGAGTAACATGTGATAGAATCCTGCTCACCAAGCAGAGTAAGAGAACCTGTTTTGTTTGTTTTTGACAGGCAGAGTTAGACAGTGATAGAGAGAGAGAGAGAGAGAGAGAGAGACAGAGAGAAAGGTCTTTCTTACATTGGTTCATCCCCAAACGGCCACTATGGCCGGCGCCACACTGATCTAAAGCCAAGAGCCAGGTGCTTCCTCCTGATCTCTCACACGGGTGCAGGTGCCCAAGCACTTGGGCCATCCTGCACTGACTTCCTGGGCCACAGCAGAGAGCTGGACTAGAAGAGGAGCAACTGGGACAGAACCGGTGCCCCAACTGGGACTAGAACCCAGAGTACCACTGCCACAGGTGGAGGATTAGCCTAGTGAGCCATGGTGCCGGTGAGAACCTGATTTAAATCTCATACCGGCAGGCTTGGGTTACATAATGAAGAAACTGAAAATCACCCTTACAAATAATTAAATGGAGTTTTGATGACCTTTCCAAAAAGTTTAATATTGATAACTTCTCGATAAAGGGTCTTTTAGGTAGCATTCACTTAAGAGAAGATGAATTAAAAGTCTTCCAAGTGTAAAGGAACTTCAAAACATTTGTGGAAAAATGTAATTAAAAGGGAAGTTGATTTTAGTGCAAGACATCTGTGAAGTCCATGAATACTTGTTTCATGATACACACTTTTTGCAACTTGGTGGAGTCTCCCTCTTTCACCTGCATAACCTCACAATACCTCAGATCAAACAGATCCCAAAGCCAAAAATTTGTCCAGAGAAGACTCTGTTCCTCCATCTTAATTTCCCCCTTTGCTGTGGCTCCATTCTCTGATCACCAGACTTTAAACACAGCTGTCATCTTGGCTTGTAGTCAGGTAGCTATGAAGACTTTTTTCTCTACAGCCTCTCCCCTTCCCTTCCCTTCCCTCCCCTTCCCTTCCCTTCCCCTCCCCTCCCCTCCTATCCCCTCCCCTTCCTTTCCACTCCCTATAACCCAAAACTTTAGGTCCAGTCCTTCTGTTCTCAGATTCTGCTATTTCATCAAGAATTCAAGTTGTCTCCTTGCCTAGTTTTCTTTCTCTACCAGCAGCTTTGAACTGAATTGTGTGCCCTGCCCTAACCCCATGTGACTGCTTGGAGATAGGGCAGGCATTTGGGGAAGTAACTGCGGTTAATTGAAATCCTGGGGGTGGGTTTCAGGATTTCAGTAGGACTGGTGTCCTTCCTGGAGAAAGAAGAGATACCAAAGACAACTCTTTCTGAGCTTGCACACAGACAAGAGGCCTCACCAGAAGCCAACTTTCCCAGTGTCAGGGTCTGAACTTCTAGCATCCAGAACTGTTATAAGTTAAATTTCAGTTGTTGAGGCCACCTTGTCTGTAGTATTCATGCCAATCCTAACAAACAGGTGATGCCCGGTGTTCTGAGTTAGACGTAAAGAACAGTAAGTGGATCTTATGCTTGTACAGCTTCCAGCACCTCCTCACTGACCTGTGAGCCCAAACTACTTACCTTGGCACCTGATGCCATCTTCCCAGCCATCCTGCCTTATCGTCCTGGCCTGTGGGCTCTCCCATTGCTTTTTGCACACAGTCAGCTCCAGTGATTTCATTGTACTCAAAACACGCTTGGCATATTCTGGAGCCACAGTGAAGCACGATGCCTTCGGGGAGCTGCCATAGTTGCCATGGCTAAAGGATGAGTCACAGGTGAGAGGACAGCAGGATGTGAGGGAGAGGAGGTGCCTCACTGACTTGGCCATTTCCTCCCTTTCCCCCGTGTCAGCAGAGTCCTCTCTGAGTTTGGACAGGACATATGCCAGATCCAGAGCCAAAAGTGACATCTAAGCTGGGAGTCAGCAAACGCTTTTTTGCAAGGGTTCGATGAACATGGGCCCTTTAGGCTTTGTGGAAATAGTGGACTCTGTCCCAACTCTGCAGTTCCAGCAGGAGAATAGCCATGGGCAACAAAGGAGCAACGAGCTCTGCTGTGTTCCAAGAGAGCTTTATTTCAAATAAATAAATAAAATAAAAAGGTGTTGAACTAGATTGAGCCTGGAAGGTGTCATTTGCCATTCCCTGATCTCTGATTGGACAGTCCCAGGCTAGTGACACAGCTGATTTTCTGAATCAAGTCTGGCCAACTTTCAGATTTCTTAGTATGCAAAGGGGAGAAAATGGTACTGTTTTAAGCTCTTGCTATTTTGGAAGGTGTAGGCCTTAGACTAATAGAATGAGTATCACCTGCAGGCTTGTCAGAAATGTAGAATTTCAAGTCCACCCTACCCAGGTCTCCAACCAAATGTGCATTTTAATAAGAAGCCCTAGTGGTTGGCAGCTACACTGGGGCTTGGGAAGTGCCTGTTGAAGCTGCTGTTGATTACATGGCCTGCTGCTTGCAGCTGAAAGCATATCCTCATTACAGCTGACAGGGTACCTGCTTTGCTGAAGACTTGGCTTTGTCCTGAAGGACATTAAAGTGTTTTAAATGGGAAGTGAGATACTCAGACATGTATTTATTTATTTATTCACTTGCATAATCTCATAACTCTTAGAAAACAATAAACTTTTAAAAAAATTATTATGTCTTTGTTTATTCCCCCTCCCAAGAAACCTTTTATTTAAGGAACACAATCTTCATAACTTCACAAGTACAACTCTAGCAATACAGTGATTCTCCCTACCATAGCCAGCTTCCCACCCACTCTCCCAGCCCTCTTCCTCCTCCCTCTCCCACCCCCACTCCCATTCTCCACTAAGATCCACTTTTGATTAACTTTATACACAGAAGACCAACTCTATACCAAGTGAAGAGTTCAACAATTTGCATGAAAATAACAACAGCAACAATAACAAAACTGTTCCTCAACAGTAGAGACAAGAGCTGGAAAACCATAAACCTCTGAAACTCAAAGCATACACCAAAGAAACAGTGCTGTTATTTATCCTACTTTTCAAGACCAGCCAACTAGATGCTTTAGTACTGCCACACCATCAGCTGGAATTCAAAGCAGCTTCTTCTGTAAGATCTGCTCTTCTACCCAGGCCCCAGGAGGCTTTGCTATTTCTCACTCTTGGGAAAAAAAATAAAAGCAGCTGATTGTGGGGTGGGGATAGAGGGGGCACTTGGCAACAGTTAAGACAGTACTTGGGATACTCCCATCCCATATTGTAGGCCTTGGGTTTTGGTTCTAGCTCTGCTCCCTTTTCCAGCTTCCTGCTGATGTGTGCCCTGGGAGGTAGCAGGTAGTGGCTCAAGGGCTTGTCACCCACATGGGAGACTTAATTGAAGTTTCCACTTCCTGGCTTTGTCCTGGCCCAGACCTGGCTGTTGTGGGCATTTGTGGAATGAATGGGTGGATGGCAACATCTGTGTTTGCCTCTGTCTCTCAAAGAAGTAAATAAATAAATAAAATTTAAAATTGGTTTGTAAGCTATAATTACTCCAGTGCTATATTTTGTAACCACAGACTAAGAAAGCTTTATTTTTAGTTGTATCCAACACTGCCACCACCAATCTTGGATGATCTAGGTTCTGAATGTATCTTTGCCTCTCCCATAAGAATATAAGCTATTTAAGCACAATCATGTTTTAAGATTTTTGCAATCTTTTCCATAAGCCTTGCAAAGTGATCTGCATTCAGTAGATTCCTGGAAAATGTAAAATTAATTTTAAAAATACAAAAGTCACCATATATTGCTTCTCCAAGTTTGTTAAACAATACTTAAATGGGATAAACATCCTGAATGCATTGTTCATATCTATGTTAAAACCGATAGAGTCCAAAGGATTCAAATATTATGAACTCTTTACAAAATATGCCTTTCCATATTCTTTATGTTTGGGTTCTAACACAACCCAGGGATGATTTTATAAAGAATTATGTACAAATATTTGCTTATAGGGTGCCTCATTTATCAAGTCACCACATCTTCCTGTGGTTCATCTTTGCTAAAACACAAAGAAGCACCACCTCTTACACAGTTTTCCCAGAGCACTTGGCTCATACTCATGTAGCAGTCATAACTTCTTGATAAATACTTGCTCAGTGACTCTATACAATATCCTAGGAATGGGGAGATTATTATCTCCTATTATTGTTGAGGCAACTGAGGCACAGTGTGTTGATGTCAAGTGACTTAGGATCACATGCCTAGAAATTTGGTGGCAGTAGGAGGGGAGTCAAAACTCAAGCCCCACCCACTGAGTCCTGGAGTTTGCTTAGAATCACCACAAACAAGTCTTTGATCCATCAAAGGCCAACCTCTCACCAGCCTCTACCCTCCGTTTTTTTTTAAAAGATTTATTTTATTTGTTTGAAAGACAGAGTTACAGAGAGAGGTAGAGTCAGAGAGGTCTTCCATCTGCTGGTTCACTCCCCAGTTGGCTGCAGCAGCCAGAGCTGCGCCATCTGAAGCCAGGAGCCAGGAACTTCTTCCAGGTCTTTCATGTGGGTGCATTGGCCCAAGGACTTGGGCCATCTTCCACTGCTTTCCCAGGCTATAGCAGAGAGCTGGATCAGAAGAGGAGCAGCCAAGACTAGAACCAGTGCTTCAGGCCAGCCACAGCACCAGCCCCTCTACCCACTTTTCCTCTGCAGGTAAAATCATTGGCTAGGATTTTTATGTGACAAATAATTTATACTAAGTCCCAGATATATTGAAAATAAAGCTGGCACTGTGGCTCACTAGGATAATCCACCTGCGGTGCTGGTACCCCAGGTTCTAGTCCCAGTTGGGGCACCAGATTCTGTCCTGGTTGCTTCTCTTCCAGTCTAGCTCTCTGTTGTGGCCCAGGAAGGCAGTGTAGGATGGCCCAAGTCTTTGGGCCCTGCACCTGCATGGGAGACCAGGAGGAAGCACCTGGCTCCTGGCTTCAGATTGGCTCAGCACACCAGCCATAGCGGCCATTTGAGGGGCGAACCAATGGAAGGAAGATCTTTCTCTCTGTCTTGCTCTCTCATTAACTCTGCCTGTCAAAAAAGAAAGAAAGAAAAAAAAAGAAAGAAAATAAAGCGTTAGGAGCCACTCTATGGTCAAGTTCCTTAACTGAAGATTTCTACATTTAAAGCCCTTTCCCAGTAGGCATTAATGACTTGATCTGATATTAGAATACTGGAAAATACCACAGAAATTAAGTTATAATTTTTAAACATTTTTCTTTGCAGTTATTACAGTAGAAAGCTTTCCTTCATCATTTCAGAGTCCACAGTGAACACTATTGAAGGACACCTGAAATTATGATCTTATTGATCTACCTAAATTCCAGACAGTTTGTTACAAAGCATCTAACCATATCCAAACAGCACAATGTAAAGCATGGAACAACATTTCAATGACTGAGAAGTATGGACAGCCAGATGAAAATACTGAACTTAGTGGATCGTTTGTCTGAATAATTCTGTTTGTCCCAGTTCATGCAACAATTCAACTCTTACTTCTCCCTGGCTTCTAATCTTGAGTCTAATGTTTTCAAAGTCAGCATGACCTCTAAAAAATTACAAATCATCTACAGTAGAGTCTCTCCTCTAAGTTATTACAACAATGACTTTGTACTGAGCAAGTTGACACCAAAGGATTAGTTGACATATGCCTTGAAACCTTACAACTGTTCCTAGAGATTTCCAGCCCCCCCCCATTTTAAAAAGCAGGAGTCATTAACTATTTTTAAATGGCAGTATATTAACCTAGGTAAGTTTATAGGAAAAACGTATGGCCCTACTTCAAGCTGTTGCTAGCAGAAATTTCAGACTTTAGCAAAGAGAGATGGTCTTCCACAAATCAGTTACTCACCAATAATTTCTGGTGTGTGAGTTCCTTTGGGTGTGTGAGTGAAGTTCTTTTAGGTTGGTTGATTGTTCAACAGCTTTTACTCCTGGCATCATTTTGCCTTCTCCTTCATTTTTTTCCCTCTTGTCAAAATCCTTTCTTCTGGGAAATTCCTCTTACACTCACCCAGTTGCTCAAGCCAGGAAGCCAGGATTATCCTCTAAATATAATCAATAATCAAGTCTTACAGAGTACAAATTCAAAAGGGACCTCAAATACAATTCCATTTATGCTTTCCACTCTGCCCCCAATTGACAGCATTAGCATTTCTCTTTATATGAATATCTACCCCTAAGGAGCTTGGAGTATTGCAGTAGCTTCTTAACCACCTCTATCTACTTCTGCCCCTCATCTGTTCTTTACACATAAGCCAAAGTGGAATATGTTGCTCCATTGTTTAAATCTTCTGAAGGCATCCTGTTGACATTAGAACAAAAGTCAGCCACATGCATGATCTGGCTTTTCTCCAGCTTCATCAAGACCTCTCACAGTACTCCAGTCAGGCTGGACTCCTGACTGGCTCTCCAATGTGCTAAAATCTTTTCTATCTTGAAATCTTCTCCTTTACTTTCACCTCTGCCAAGAAATTCACCCACTGGTCCTTGGCTTTTTTGACACATACTTTAGATCTTAGTTCCAATATTACTTCCTTAAGAGATCCCTTTAACTTAGGTTTCTAGGTGCCTTACCTTCTTCTCATAACAGCTTGCTCAAAGAATAGATTTCTGTTTGTGTGTTTCTGTGTTTATCTCCTGCCTCTCTCAAAAGGTTATAATCTCCATGGAGCCAAGGACAATGACTTTCAATTGATCACCTAACCTTGGGTTGGGTTCATGGTATGCCCTCAGCTATTATTTGTGGAATGAGTGAATCAATATAATTTGTAGTAATGAACATTGCATGGAATACAAAATGCATGTTTCTTTGAAAAACAAAATAAAATTGTTCATGGATTTTTTTGACAGGCAGAGTGGACAGTGAGAGAGAGAAAGGTCTTCCTTTTCCATTGGTTCACCCTCCAATGGCCACTGCAGCTGGCATGCTGCAGCCAGCACACTGCACTGATCCAAAACCAGGAGCCAGGTGCTTCTCCTAGTCTCCCATGTGGGTGCAGGGCCCAAGGACTTGGGCCATCCTCCACTGCACTCCCGGGCCACAGCAAAGAGCTGGCCTGGAAGAGGGGCAACCAGGACAGAATCTGGCGCCCTGACCGGGACAAGAACCCAGTGTGCCGGTGCCGCAGGTGGAGGATTAGCCTATTGAGCCATGGCACCTGCCATTCATGGATTCTTTAAGATAATTGACAGCTGTGCAGCAAGTTCTTGTGAGTTAACTCACATGTTAACACAGAACTTGTTTCTGTGAAATGCATCAGTAGAAATGGAAAGATTAATATATTTGAGAGGCTTTGTGGTAAAAAATAACCCTGAAAAAATGTCAGCATGAAAACCAAAGCCCACTGTAAACAACAAAAATCAAAAAAACTGTGCTTAATTACAGCCTGTTGTAGCAATGTCACAGACCTGCACTGTCGTGGCATACCATGGCTTCCTCCAGCATAGCAGAAGAGCAGCAGCAAGTCTGATATATCTCCTCTTCTGGGGCCAGCACAGATTTTCTGGCCTATGAAAATTGTCCTGTATGTCAGAAGTGACACTCATGTATGCAGTCATTATAGTCAGCATGTTGGACATCTCCCACTCTGGTTGCAAATTTTGAGCTAAGGCTGTCTTACACACTTGATAGTGGCTAAAAACATTGTAATCCTAAACACTCTAGTGCCAGACCAGTTGGCACTTTCTGTAGCTTTCCTCAATGTTACTTTTCCATGCAGAGCAGATCTGTAAGGACCTTTGCATATCTCATCTAATCTGACTCTCAAAGAAGGTATTGTTATCCCTAATTTGTTGCTTGTTATAGTTAGTTAATACACTATTATTTCTTGGCTCCAAGCAAAGTCTCTATTTTTTGCTGCAGGTCTGGCACTCTGAAAACCTTGTAGGGTTTTTTCTTTGTTTTCCTTGTAGGGTTGCACAATTCTGCCCAAAAGGACCTTGTAGAGAGATTGGAAGGCAGGAGGAAGAGCTGGAACTTGATTCTCCCAGTGCATATCATTCCTGGCAGAGCAAGTGTTTCTTCACCAGGCAGAAGTCCTGCTCATTTTAGCTTCCAGCTTCTTTGTGCTCTTCCTGAACCAGCCTCATGCCCCCACAGCAGAACATCAGAAGCACTGGAGCTGCTTGGAGCTGCTTCTCCTCTTCAGAGGTTTGAAATGCCATGATACAACTCTCTCCAGCTGGCTTATTCACTTGAAGGTAGAACCATACTGCAGTACTTTTTCAATAAATGTTGAGCATGTATCTAATCCAATTATGGTGAAAATGGGACTAAAATGTTTTCATGGTGTTATTATTGTGAATAAGCTCCATATGTCCCAAAATAGGCTCTAATTGCCCCTCTGCTTATACCATGACCATGGAACTGCTTGTGAGGCATCTCAGATCTCTGTCTGCCTCTGCTACTATGAGCTGGCAGGAGCACACCCTTCTTCTCCATGGAAGCTAGCAAGAGATTCTGTCCATACAGCACACAGTTGCACACGAGGGTACGGACATAGCATGGTAGCGCCAGGTGGTTAACTAGATAATCCAAATTGAACTTATCATGACATGGAGTTAAGGGAAATATTTATAAAGAATTGTGGACTTCTGAAAAATATGTCCATAGATCTCTAGGGCTCTGTGAATCCCAATCATACTTATCAAATGTATGGGCAGTACTTACTATGTGAGCACTTTCCTAAACACATTATAACTCTAGGTTCAGTTAAGCCTCATAATAATGATACGAGGTAGGTACCACTACTATCTGCATTTTCAGAGATGAGGAAGCTGAGGCATGGTGAGATGACATAACCTTTCCAAGGTCACAGCTTCACGTGGTGGAGCTGCAGTTCAAGCACAGGAAGCTCTGAAGGTCATGGCTGTAAGTTCTTGATTGTGCTGAGAATAATTCCTCATTTTGACAGGCTGATCATTCTGAAATTCAACTCAGGGTCCCCAGTTGTGTAGCTAACAGGTGGCAGGAGCTTTATTAACTCTGGATTTCCTAGCAGCAAATAAGACAGGTAAGGCAACATGGTGTCCCCACACTCTGACTCTGACCAAAGTCGAAAGGTGTGGTGAGTGTAGCTCAGGACCTCACAGACATCTCGACACATTATTGAGCTGTTTCTCTTAGGATCTCCCCCATTGTCTGCCACACAAACACATCTCAAATACTTTGGAAACTGTCTCAAAGCACACTTAATGATACAACAAGTTTCCATACCTGGAATGAAAGCTGACTTCATTTTCCTTTGGTCTCTTCACTTTATAACATCTTCAGTCTCGCAGGGGTGCCTATCCCTGAGGCCACAGTCCTTGGTGACACTGTCCATGCTCAGGTCAGTATCAGACTGTCCTTGTTCTGCTCCACAAGGTCAAACTCTAATGGAATTCTTGGCTCACTTTGCAGCGGTGACTTGTAGGAAGGCAAATATTTTGCAATTTCTCCTTCCTCCTCCCACTTCAAGGTCTTGGTGACTTGAAAAGCTCCCTGCTATGAGATGAACTCGATACCTTTCTCTCCTCCAAAATAGATGAACTTTTTACTAGTTTGGTCAATATTCAAGACTAAGTCTTAATTCTAGGTCTTTCCATTTTGTGACATTATCTTTGATGTACATTACAAAGAGTTGGGGTCTTGTTAATCAAAATGTGGTCCACAAACTAATAGCACTGGCAACCCTTGGGAATTTGCTGGAAATGTAGAATCTGAGGCCCCATTTCAGATTTACCAAATCAGAATTTTAATTGCATGGTTCAGATGCACTTTAAAATTGAGAAGCACTGGGTTCAAGGATATCAAATTGCTTTCATCTCAACTGAGTGCCTGGGTGTTGGCAACTCATATCATAATCTCTGAACATTAGTAATCTCTCTCGTGGCTCTGGCATTCTCTGTGAGACAACATTGTTAGGCACCAGAGGAAAAATCATCTGAGAGGGGCTGGCACTGTGGCATGGCAGGCAAAGCCACCACCTGCAGTGCCAACATCCCATATGGGCACTGGTTTGAGTCCAGATGCTCCACTTCCAATCCAGCTCTCTGCCATGGCCCAAGAAATCAGTAAAAGATGGCCCAAGTGCTTGGGCCCCTGCACCTGCATGGGAGACCTGGAAGAAGCTCCTGGCTCCTGGCTTCAGATCAGCACAGCTCCGGCCATTGCTACCAAATGGGGAGTAAACCAGCAAATGGAAGGCGTCTCTCTCTCTCTCTTTGCCTCTCCTACTTTCTCTGTGTAACTCTGACTTTCAAGCAAATAAATAAATCGCTCTCATCTGAAAAATAAAATCCTTGTCCTTCCATCCCCGCACAATGCAATGGATCCATATGAATGAGAAATTGAATACCACTAGATTTTTACGGTTACATTTGAGTTAAAATAAAATTATTTAATTGCTATAATCCCACCATTGGATATATGGACCTAGAGATTCTCTGATTTTCCTATACTACATGCTTCTCAGTTCACTGTATGTTTCTTTCTCTGTGGAATTCCCTTCCTTCTCCTAGACCTTGTCACATTTCACGACCAAATTGAAAGCTTTCCTCTGTGAAATCATTAAACCCCATGGCATCCACATGAGCAGCTGTCTGCTCTGTACCCATCAATGCCTGGATATTCTTTTTTTTTAATTTTTTTAAATTTTTTAACAGGCAGAGTGGACAGTGAGAGAGAGAGACAGAGAGAAAGGTCTTCCTTTGCTGTTGGTTCACCCTCCAAAGGCCGCCGTGGCCGGCATGCTGCAGCCGGCGCACCACGCTGATCCGATGGCAGGAGCCAGGTACTCATCCTGGTTTCCCATGCGGGTGCAGGGCCCAAGCACTTGGGCCATCCTCCACTGCACTCCCTGGCCACAGCAGAGAGCTGGCCTAGAAGAGGGGCAACTGGGACAGAATCCAGCGCCCCGACCAGGACTAGAACCCGGTGTGCTGGTGCTGCAAGGCGGAGGATTAGCCTAGTGAGCCACGGCGCCAGCCTGGATATTCTTTTAAGAGGACTGTGGGAGAAAATGTGCATGAGCTTGAAAATGACCAAGCTTAAAGGGCTTCTTGGTTTCACCAGTTCACTTCCTACATGAGTTTGGTTAAGTTGTTGAAGTTTCATTGCCTTCTGTAAAATGACATGGCTTCCCTTCTCCTGCTGAGCTCATGGCACTGCCATCTGTCCAGTTGTTGAGGACAAAATCCTTGGATCCATCATTGACCCCACCCTTTTCCCCACCACTCACCTCCAACCCAGCAATAAATCCTGTTGCTTCTACTTTCAAAGCACATCCAGAGTCTCCTCCCATTTACCACCTCTATTGGGGCCACCTTGAACTGAACCACCACCTTATTTGTGTGGATCACCACCATCTGGTATCTCCTAACTGACTTCCACCCTCTTTCCTATTCCCTTCTAGTGGATAGTGGCTGGACTGATCATATTGAAATACCAAGTCAACCAATCTATCCAAAACCATCCAATGGAAGCCAAAGTCAAAGGTAAAGTTCTGACAGTGACCCAGGGACTGTTTCACCAACAACTTTAACTCTGGAGCCTCTCCATTCATCCCACTCTGCCATTCTTACTGGTCATCTTCTGGTTCCTGGAGCAGGCCAGGCAAGTGCATGTCAGAAGCTCTTAGCACTTGAGGTTCCTGACCTTTGGAATGTTCATCCTGAAGATATCTACATGTTTTACCCCCTTACCTCCTTCAAATCCTTGCTCAAATGGTGTCTTCTCAATCAGCCCTTTCCTGATGGCCAGAGCTTCACCAATCCGAAGCCAGGAGCCAGGTCCTTCCTCCTGGTCTCCCATGCAGCTGCAGGGTCCCAAGCACTTGGGCCATCCTCCACTGCACTCCCTGGCCACAGCAGAGAGCTGGACTGGAAGAGGAGCAACTGGACTAGAACCTGGCACCCATATGGGATCCCAGTGCTACAGGTGGGGGATTAACCAAGTAAGCCATGGTGCTGGCCCCTCTAAATCAATTTTTCAAAACAAACAGGATGACTGTGATTGTCAGAATTTTTACTTTATAGGGCAGATGGTTAATTGCTGGCATGTGTTGATACTAATGAGATTCATATACCTGATTTTTATATTAATTCACTATACATTCTGGAGTGGCTTGAATGGCAGAACTGTTCAATCATAGAGTGTATTTAAAGAAGGCGGTACAGCCAATATATATTTTAAGTAAAATTAGTTTAATTTTTTTCAATGCTCTGGAGAAAAAAAAATAAAACACTGTAATTCAATAGATCCTAGCCCAGGAGAAAAAGGTTGCTTTAGATAGAATAGTTTGAATGTTTTCATCCATGGGTAATATTTGAGCTTAAAACATTATTATGTGGTGTGATGTTCAATAAGGAAGCAAGGAAGAGAGCATTTAAGCTGAGAAAGCAAATAGCAAACTGAAAGAACTTAATGAGGGGAAGCAAATGTGGGTGTATAATCAAAAGAAAGAAGTTGATACTTTTATGGTTAGTGACACATTAAGCCTGTGATTATAGAGTGGACTGAAAATGTATCTTTGCAAAAATCTAAAAAAAGAAGGAAGGAGGGGGGTTGAGGGAGGAAGGGAGGAAGGGTGGTCTGGAAGTATGGTTATCTTAGAATTGTACATGAAAATTCATGAAATCTATTTTCTTTATATTAATGGAATTAAATATTTTAAACATTGATTAACTTGGAGGATGGAGATAAAAGTGAAACATGGTGAATGTAGTTAATAATGAATTACTTTCTACAAAATTGTTGAGAAAATAGATTTGAATAGCTCTAACTCAAAATATGTGCAAGGTAATATGTATGTTAAAGTCACTTTCCTTAGTCATTCCATAATGTATACCTATCTTAAAAAAATATATACAGTGATACCTCAAAAATTCTTGTAAAATGAAACAAATTGTTTTGGTTCAGAAAAAAATTAAACTTCATATACAGATTTTATAACACTTATTTTCATTGAGTTTTTTAAAATATCCTCTTATCTGCATAGATTTCAAGTTTTCATGCACCAAAATAAATGTACTTTTACATTCAATTTTCGTCAAACTATTTGAAATACACACTGTACATAATAAATGAATATATAGTTTTTGTATCTTAATTTTTAACTAAAATGCTTTTGTCAAATAAATAAATAATAAAATCAGAAAATATTGGTAGATTTTAACCTGAAGGTCTCTTTTTAGTCTGCTCTTTAAACAAGTTTACTTATCTTGAGACTGGATAGTAGCTGCATAGGAATAAATGGTAAGATCCTGTTAGGTGACTAATCTGGTTAGAAGTTCCATCGCTGACTTAGCCAATCATTTTCTGATGGCATTGTGAATGTTGTCCTCATTTTCCCCTATTTATTTGTTGATTGATTGCTATTACAAGCAACACTATGAGGAACATCCTGTGCAGATGTCTTTGTGGTCTATTCCTTTTGTTTCCTTAGAATAAACCCCTAGAAATGAAAGTACTTTGTCAAATAGTTTGATCAATCTAGTCTCTCATCACACAAGGCATCCTACCCTTTGGAGTCATGGTGCTTGAGCTGTGGCCACTTGAGAAAAGATAAATAGTGATTATTTTTAAGGAAACATTGAGCCTGTCCTTCAACTAGAATCTATAGTTTGAATATTACTAACAGCCACAACTCACAAGGGCAGTTTTTCTCTCCCATAAAATGTTACTGTGATAATGTAAAATTGAAGATAGAAGTGTACTAAAAAGTATTTTGTGAAGCTTATACATATATAGACTTCACAATAGTAAGTATAACAAATTGGACTGATAGTTAACTGGTTGATGAAAGTGCAAATATCAAAGTATCTTAGGTTAAAAGGGGGAATAATCAAGATACAATATAGGCAGCAGTTTGTCATCAATTCATTAATTAATTTGAGAAGCTTTTATATGGAGTTTGAGCAAAGTGGTCAGATTTAGAAAGATGAAGCCCATAGCTAAATTTGAATTTCTGCTAAACAATATAATTTTTGGCTTGATGATGTGCCACACAGTATTAGGGTGTCCTGAATTTTATCTGGCAGACTCACTCTCTAGCAATGTGATACACATTCTGCATACACATATTATCATCCAGTGAAACATGTTTAACTGAAGCCTGTAAAACATAGCTTTAAACTGTGTTTCTGGCTGGCACTATGGCTCATTAGGCTAATCCTCCACCTGCAGCACCAGCACCCTGGGTTCTAGTCCCAGTCGGGGCGCTGGATTCTGTCCCAGTCACTCCTCTTCCTGTCCAGCTCTCTGCTCTGGCCCAGGAGTACAGTGGAGGATGGCCCAGGTCCTTGGGCCCTGCACCCGCATGGGAGATGAGGAGAAGCACCTGGCTCCTGCCATCGGATCAGCATGGTGCACTGGCCGCAGCGCGCTGGCTGCAGCAGCCCCTGAGGGGGTGAACCAATGGAAAAGGAAGACCTTTCTGTCTCTCTCACTGTCCACTCTGCCTGTCAAAAATAAAAAAAAAATTTTAAAAATTAAAAATAAAACTGTGTTTCTAAAGGATTTTCAGGCTCTGGAGTAAAACATTCAAGGACAACCTGAGAGAATCCAGAGAAAAAGATGACAATGAGTTGAGGTTGGGGCAACTGGCCTTTGTTTCCATTAGGTCAATGAAATATTAAAGGGAGTGTGCAAGACTAAATGAAAGAAATGGGCAAAGAAAAGACCCAGTCACTTTCACTGCTTTATTTCTAGGACATGTCTGACACCTGCCTATGGGTTGTCTAATTACAGATGATGCCTTCCTCAAATCCCCCTAAGGGGAGTGCTTTCCTGAGATTAACAAAGTGCTGTCATCTGGTAATGGACTCCTGTGTGGACCTCCTCCAACTGGACGACACTCCATGGATTGTTTCACCATTCTTTCTTAGGCAGAGAGATCAGTTTTTTCAATGTAATGATTTTACAGTTTAAGTCCTCTCAGAAACTGCCTACATAAACCTTTCTGGGATAAAGAATTAAAAAAATAAAGTACAAAGGAACTATCAGATGGGAAAACACATTGTGCAATATGAAGTCTAACAACTCTGGATTCTGAATTATAACAGAAGGCATTGATGTTGTTTTCTGGGAGAATGATTGAACTGCTATGGTTGGCATGCTCACTTTTTAGGGCCACATGAGGGAAAGGGGTACAAGCTGCTTGCTTGCTATAGTCCCCTCTAGCTCTGTTCCTGGCATCCCAAAATGTGTAAGAGTCCAAGAAGGTGTCAAGGAAATGGGATTTACTAGGGATATATAATTTGTTGTTTGCAATAAAATGAGAAATATCATCCACTAGTGAGGTATGTCACTTCTTAATTCTTAGTTTAAAAAAACCATTGAAAAGGAAAGATTATTCCTAGTGCCTGGCATTGAACAAAATGTTTACTGCCAAGAGTCGTCACTAACCAGAATGTGAGTAGTTATGTGAACTTTTACTCCATGGATCGCAGGAACCACATACGATTGCTGATAAAATACAGAATTCCAGTTAAATTTGAATTTCAAACAAAAAAATACTTTGGCACAAGTATTACATGAGGCAAACTTACATTAAAAAGTATTCATGGCTTTTAAGAAACTCATTTACCTTCTATGTATCAGGCAAACAGCCATGGATGTACATGGATGTACATGTGCATGTGCTCACACATTTGTTCAATAGGCACACATTTGCACATCCACATGTCTGTGTGAACACATTTGTGTACCAGACACATGTCTGTGTATTTATGTGTACACGGGAGCACCTTCTGTGTACCAGGGTGATATCTGTGCATGCACATATGCTTGTGTGAACACCTTTGTGTATGTGGCATACAACTAACTGTGTGTTCATGTGCAGAGGTGAGTACTTCTGTGTACTAGGCACACATCTATGCATGTCTGTGTGCCAATACATTTGTGTACCAGGCATGTGTCTGCATGCATGTGTGTGTGTGAGCACCTTTGTGTACTAGGCACATAGCTGCACACACATGTGCTTGTGTGAACACTTCTGTGTACCAGGCATGCATCCATGCATACAGATGTGCCTGTAGGAACCCCCATGTGTACCAAGTGTCTTCACACATAGAAGCCTCCCAATCTCCCTCTGAGGGTCATGCTACTGTTGCCCATTTTCTAGATGAGCAAAAGGAGAGGGTCATTAGTTTCAACTAAGATCCCTCAGCTGACATGAGGAATCCAACTCTTAACTATCCAAGCAGTTAAGCCCCAACACTTGAACCTCAGTGTAGATTACTCTACCCATACTCACATAGTAGGTGACGTACCAAGTGTCCCTTGCTCCCATTCATCTGTATCTCCCAAAACTGATCCATAAACTCTTGTGGAAAGAACTCCCACTTGATGCCTATGTCACTCCCATCACTGACAAATACTTGTCAAAATGAGAAATAAATTGACAAATAAATGAGAAATAAATTGACAAATTTTCTCATCCAGGTACTTTGTTCAGTTCTCTGCAGTTTGATTACTGCCTCTCCTCACTCTGGAAACCTCTGGCCCAACAATCTCTCATGACCCACTGCCTGTCCAGCTGAGAGCCTCACCCAAGTGCTAGTTCCCCAAGCTGCCTGCAGCATCAGACCTCACCCTCCTACCTATTCAGGTTCTTTCTACCCTTGACTTTTACTGTTGCCTGCTTCTTCTCCTCACTACATCAGGCCAAGGGGTTCCCTCCTAACACAAGATCCTAGAACACAGATTCCACACTCTTCCCCCACTCTCCATGGGCCACATTTCATGAAAACCTAAAAACTCTGGTTTCATGATGTCCCATTCTTCCCACAATAAACAAGATGAAGTCCAAATTCTTGGCCTTGAATCCTAGCCACCTTCACTCTGCCCCACTCACTTTCCTTCTAAACAGCCTACCTCCAGCTTAGCTGTCACTGTCCCAGCTCTACACCTGGCAATGCTCTTTGGTCCCCTAGACCATGTTACTACCTCTCTGACCTCTGCTAACATCCAACACAGGCTTCCACTCCCTTAAACCATTCTCTGCAAGGGGTTTCTCAGGCATCTCAGCTCTTGCACTCACTCCTTTACTTCTTAGAACGTATGTATTGCATTATTTAATAACTTCAATTGCTTTCTAAAAGAATTTCTACCATTCTGAGTTTATCTTTGCTTAAACTTGCGTATAATTGCTATTGCAGTTTTAAGGCATTAATGTGGTTTTAAGATAATGACTTCACATACTTTTTTTGCAATTCATAATCCTGTCATATTCACTTTTATAAATAAGCACATGAGCTCTCAAAGAGGTTAGATTACTTACCCAGGATCACACAGCCAGCAGATTGAAGACCCAGGAATTGAAAAATCAAAAGCAGATTTCAGAAGGAAGTTTACAGCAACCAGTGCCTACATCAACAAACTTGAAATACATCAAATAAATGATCTAAGAATGCACCTCAAGGACACAGAATAATAAGAACACACCAAACCCAAACTTAGAAGAAAGAAATAATTAAAATTAGAGAATAAATAATCAAATTGAAGCCAAAAAGGATACAAAAGATCAGTGAAATGAGCTGTTTTTTTTTACTACGACCTTGTCTAACTATGATCAGAGTCGGTGAACTCAAAAGGCTTCCATAGCCTTGGCAACTCATGAGAAGAGCCTAGGGTGATTACTGATGCCATAAACAAGAGTGTCAATTTGTCGAGTCAACAACAGGAGTCACTGTGCACTTAATGTGCTGTACATTGTGATTTAATGCTATAACTAGTACTCAAACAGTATTTTTCACTTTGTGTTTCTATGTGGGTGCAAACTGTTGAAATCTTTACTTAATATATGCTAAACTGATCTTCTGTCTATAAAGAGAATTGAAAATGAATCTTGATGTGAATGGAAGGGGGAGGGAGAGGGAAAGGGGAGGGTTGCGGGTGGGAGGGAAGTTATGGGAGGGAAGCCATTGTAATCCATAAGCTGTACTTTGGAAATTTATATTCATTAAATAAAAGTTAAAAAAAATGATACACAACTTTCCTAATCAGTAAAGGGAGAAGACCCATATTAAAATCAGATGAAAAAGATGTTTCAATGAATATCACAGATAAAGAACCATCGTGATTTGCTACAAAAAGGTATATGACAACAAACTGGAAAATCTAGAAGAAATGGATAGATTTCTGGACACATACAATCTTCCAAAACTGAGTCATGAAGACACAGAAAACCTAAATAGGCCAATAACTAAGACAGACATTGAATCAGTAACAAAGGCCCTACCTACAAAGCTTTCTCTGCTAAGTTCTACCAATTCTTCTCAAATCCATTCCAATTCTTCTCAAACTATTTAAAGCAATTGAAATAGAATCCTCTCAAACTCCTACTAAGAGGCCAGCATCATCATTTAATTCCAAAACCAGAAAAAGATAGAACAAAGAAAGAGAATAATAAAACATTATTACTGGTGAACACAGATGGAAAAATCCTCAAAAAATTCTAGTTAATCAAATCAGAAGACCACATCAGAAAGATCATTCACCCAGACCAAGTGGGATTTATACCTGGTATTCAAGGATGGTTCAACATTCACAAATTAATAAACATAATAGGTCACATTAACAAACTGAAGAATAAAAGCCATATGAAAGCATTTGATATTATACAACATCCTTTTATGAAAAAAAAAAACCTTAAGCAAAATGGATATTTTACACATGAGAAAATTGAGACTCATTAAATAATCTAAGGAACAAGTAAATGAAAGAGCCAGATTGAAAATCAGGCGATTGAATCCAGGTTCCATGCTACTACTCCACATTGGCTCTGAATGGGCCTATATACTGAACTCTGTAACTGTGTGGCCAAGTTCCTACAACCTGAATTCTGATTTGGAAGAACTCAGAGGTGCAATGAAGAGGAGGCAGACATTGAAGGAGAAACACCTGCAGCCATGAAGCTGGACCATGTCTTCTGTGACAAGGACAGTAACTCCCACACTTCCAGAAGAAAGACCCTGATCCCAGAACCCTGACAGAAGAGGCAAAGCAGCTTCAGAGAGCAGTGATGAGGAGTTGGAGTTCTCTTTGAGCCAGGTAATTACACCCCTCTGATTTTGATGACCCTAGTCATAACCCAACTGGTCCAGATGCTACCCCTGTGCAACTCTAATGTGGGAGCATCCTGAGGAATGCATAGGCCTCAGAGAGCATGGCCAGGAGCTTCACAAAGAGTATGAATGGAGGCATGATCCTGACAGTGCAGACTTTGGCTCCTGCCATCAAAACCAGTGCAGTGCCCACTGCCCACCAAGACAGTCCCTGGGGCTAGCACCAACAAGGAGTCTCACTGAGTATCAGAGGCAATAAATAGGAGGCAACAGCCACGCAGGTGACAAACAGGCAAGCCAGAGTCCATTTTCCTTTCTTCTGACCAAGCTATCCTGAATCTCCTTCTCCAGAAATGAAGTGAGCCCCAGCCACCTACTGCCAGTCTTCAAGTGGGGGTGATGGTGCTGTGGGAAAATTCCCTGTGATGAAACTCCAGAGTGTCCCTGTCCAGGCAACAGTGACCAAAAAGCTAGGTGAAACCAAGGGCCAGCAGGCCAGAGTCCCTCCCTCAGGGAACCCCAAAACCAAAGACCTGTGAGCTCAGACAATAGTGAGAAGAGCAGAAACAGTTCTTCAGGGAGGGAAGGGCTCCAGATGGCCAACTCAGCCCCCAGCTTGGGGTCAAACCCTGCTGAGAGGGAGTTGATTACAGAGAGGAACCCTAGGCTTACCCTGGCCTGTTATCTGGTGTCAAAGGCTTCTCCCAGGCCAGGCATCAACCTTCCAGTTCCCTCTACTCTGGACACCAGATTCCCTAGATGTTAAGCAGCAGACTCAGTCCCAACAGGCAACAGTGATCATGTTTCTCAATGCAAGTAGAAAAGAGGCCGCATGAAGCACCACAGCTCAGACACTCAAGAAATGGGTCACGGGCCTCTGAACCACAATCCTTCTAATCAATAGTTCCCATCACCTCCTGGGAAAACCTAGCTCATGAGTGAAATCAGATGCAGGCCTTGGTGGGGAAGGTCCTGATGGAGCTGCTGAAGCAGGAAAGGAAAAGGCCATGGACATTGCCAAGATCAGCAAGAATGATTGCAGGAGCTGCAAAGCAGGAGCTTTCATGGTCCTGTTGGCAATGAAGGCCCCCAGAAGCAAGCAGAAGCAGAAGCTGATGGCTGGGGAAGGTGGAGATGGTGCTGGTTCCCAAGAAAATGCCTCTAGGATTCCAAGGGAAAATAAAAAAGGAGTACAAGTGGTAACAGCAAAGAAAAAAGAAAGGTCCCCTGACTCCCACGGATCCAAGGACAAGCCATAAGGGGATTTGGGAACGGTGAAGATTAAGGATGGAGGTCAAAGCAACTTGAAAACAAGGAGAAGCAATCTAAGAAGGAAAGACAAAGGTCAGCACAAAATGGAGACGAAGAAAGCAAAAATAAAACCCTCATCCAAAATCCCCAAGACATCATCCAGGAGAATAAGGAGATGGCAGACAAGTAGGAGTTGTGAGGGGTCTGTGGCACAGGTGCATAACCAAGTGGGGAGCATCCTCATGTCTATGGGCTGGAACTACATTTTTAACTCCAGTCTCTCACAGCAAAGTCTGGCCAGCCTCAGGGGCTGGATGCTGGACAAGCTGGTGAGCCTTAAGGGAGGCTGGTCCTATATGCAAGTATATCCTGATCCCTTGACCTTACCCTACTTCTCCTAACACAGAATGTTTTCTACAGATGTGCT